GGTTCAGGAAAGCATCCCTGGCAGCTTGTGCTAACGTGCCACTGACACCCACAGCGCCACGGGGCTCCAATCAGCTCTGCAAGGACCCAGTCCTTCTCCTCCTTCCTACCCCAAACCTCATCCTTTCAAAGCGTTAACACCTTTCATCCTCCGTCCTTCGGGCTTTCTTTTTCTCATGCACGGAGCCCCGCGGCTTCTCTCTCTTGCTGCATCAGGCTGCACAGACGGCAGGGAGCAGCTTTCCAAAGTGACAGCCACCCACACGGACCCCAAGGACAGGAGCGTGGCGCTGAGCTCATGTCTGCGGCCGTGGGCTGGAGCCTGCCCTCTCGCCGCCAGTGCAGGCAGGCACCCGTGAGCTAATCCTTTCCACGGCCAGCACGGGGGGCGGCAGGGACTGGGCAGCCTCGTTTTTTGGCTGGAGGGCCATTGTCATCAGCAGCAACATCGCTTGCACATGAGCCTTTTCACATCCTGGGCTCCCACTGGTGGCAAGTGGCATGGGATGGCCACCATGGTCCCCAGCAGCCACATCTCCTGACCTCCAGGCATGACGGTCATTGCTTGCATGTCCAGGTCCTCCATCCCCTGTCCCCAAGAGCGTGTAGTGGTGGGGAGGATGAAGCCCGTGGTCCCCCTGGGATTTGCACATCTGGTGCTGCAGGTGCCCTGCATGGGCCATCCCCGTGGGTGCCCTGGGAAGGACGGCCGGGTCCCGCTGGGCTTGGGATGTGCAGGGCTCCTTCCAGCCAGCCCAGGGTCTGGGCTCCACCAGCGGGACAGGGCAGCCCTGTCTGACATGGACTGGTTCTCTGCTGGAGGCTGGGAGAGGCTACGCCCTTAAACAAAATGCACTTAAACTCATATAATTACAACAATTATTAGCACTGTTTACTAGGCCAAGATCTGCAGCACTGGAAACATTAAAACCCAGAATCTGCAGAAACCACAGCATTATGAACTACCCAGAGGAGTTTCTTGCGTGCATCACAGAAGGAGTGCTAAAATGAAGTTGTCTTGTGCACATCCATCCTCGTGTCCTTTCAAAAGAAATAATTCTCATTGCATTGGTTTCCTGAGGTGGGTCTGGCCAGCCCCCATTGCATCCCGTAGCAGAACCTCAGCCTTCTCCATGGAGCTTGCTGGCACGTGGATTTATGGCATCGCAGACCTGATGTCCACACCACCTCCCTCGTGGTTGTGAACACATCCCGCGCCCGGAAAGCCGAACCGCTGGGGCCAGCGAAGCATCCGACCCCTGCTGCAGTGTTTGCAGCAGGTAGGTAAATAATTAGCAACGAGAACTGATTGCGGTCCAGATAAATTTAGTTCAGCTGCACTGAGACCATAAAGGTGGCATCTCCTCCCACCACCTCCCCACAGGGACGGGGCTTCGCTGTCGGGGCGAGCTGGTGTTGGCTGGTGGTACCTTGAGGGCATGACATCTGTGGGTGTTGTTTTCAGCTATCAGTTGCTCCACCGCAGGCAAAGTTTAGCTCTAGATAAATCAAGACTATTTCACTGAAGTCCAGATGACTCATAACCACAGGGCAGGAAACTCTTTTATCTTTGGGGCAGCCAGTTTAATATAGATAGATGTTCACTCCTGAGCTCTGAATAATTTCTGTCTCTTTCCTTCTCATTAAAAGCAAATCAGATGAGGGAAAATAGTGAGAAATTTCTGTGTCGCCTCTGTTTCTCCCATCTCTGAAAGAACTTCCTCCAAATTGTGCAGTCTGCCTGTACTGGGTCCTTTGCCATATATTTTAATTGGCAGAAAAAAGTGCTTTTGCTCCAAAGTGCCACTCCTTTTTTAAACCTTGATTCTGCAAGTGTGGATGGAGCAGGGATCTGTTACAACAGGGTCTAACCCAGCTTCCAGAGAGGTACTTTTGGGGTCTTCCTTCCTTCCCTGGTGTGGGAGAGTATTGTTGCCTCCTTGGCTGAAGGGGAACCACAGAGCAGTTAGGCATCTTGCCGATGAGCCTGCTAAAAGCAGCAGCTGGAGGTGGAGAGCGGAGGGCTTGGGCAGCAGGGAGCTCTTAAACACAAGAGAAAAGGCAAGGTTTTGCTGGAGAGCCTCCTGAGTTGGTTATTTCTCTTTCCTAGGTATGTCAGATGGCACTTTGCTTCTTGGGCTCGGTCGGTGGGTCAGAACCTGCCTTCGTGGTTGCCTCTTCCAGCCAGAGTGCCCTGCCTGCACAGGCACGGGTGGCTTTTCTCTTTGAAGTTCTGTCTACCAGTGACAGCAGAACTGCGTGATACTTTCCTGCTCCTTTGGTATCTGAGGTCCTGTATTCGCCGTCTGTAGAGGCTTGTGTGTGCCGTGCGCGGAACCCCTTGGCATCATGAGGAGCCTTCCGCAGGAGCTGCTCGATGTCCGTGATGAAACACGGTGTGCTCAGGCTGGCACAGCCATAAGCTGAGGAGCTGGGTAGGTCTCGGTGAGGCCAGAGCTGGTTCTCCACCACTTCCCTGCGTTGTGCAGGTCTCTCCTCATGTGGTGATGCCCTCCTGGTAGAGACCTTCTCCCCTTCTTCCCCACCAGAACCAGCAGGACCCTGCTGCACAGATCTCACCGACCTCCACATGGTTGCTTAGGGGTGTCGTGCCACCTGAAGCTCACGTGGTTGGTGTTCACTGCCTGTCTGTCTAGTCGATAAAGCCCTACGTTCAGATAACGCCCATCCCTGGAGGAATCCGGGGCAGCAACCTGACACCGTGGCTTGGGCCACGCTCGAGACCTCTAAATCCGTAGGCTGAAGGCAGTGAGATGAGCGGTTGGCAGGAGCCAACCTCCCCATCGTTTTCCGCTTCTAAATATCACAGTAATAAAAGGTAAAATCATGAAAGGACTTCTGCGGCCCACTGTGCCTAATCTGAAATCAGGATGATGAAGAGCACGTAGCGAGGTTGTTATTAATATCCTGCCTCCTGATGACGGCTTTATAAACATCATCATCACAGGCACAGCTTCACGGTAGCATTTTGGCATGACCTTCTAGACAACTGTCACGCTTTTTATCACGCTTACCCCTCGCTTGATATTTAACCAATAAAGTGATACGGGGAAGACCTTGCTCCTAAATATCTGACCTTATACACAGGGCTACGAGGTCAAAACCGCGAGAAACTGTGCTAAGCGTCGTTGTGCTAAATGCTCCTTAGACCTGATGCTCCTTGTCTGGGAACGGTGCCACAGGCTACAGCAAGAAGGGGATCAGATGTTTGATGGCAGCGAAAACCCTCGGTGCTGTAAGGGATGACTCATGGGCAAAAGCCCCACACAGCAGCGAGGCCACGCTCGTGCTGAAACCGGGGACTTTGCCCGGTGGGGGTGAGGTCTTGGTGGGGACATGAGGGTGACGGCTGCAGGGAGAGGCCAAGAAAAGATGCCGGCTTTCCTAGTGACCTGTACGTATTTATCATGGCTCTTTAAAGTAGACATTAAGATCAGAGTGGAGGAAAGTTTTTGTGGCTTAATCAATGTGGATGGAGAAGGTGAGGAGCAGCTGTGGAGCCTGCGTCTGCTGGTGAGCAGGAGACTGGGGGTCACTGGTCCCCATTGGGATCTGGCATTGTCTTGGTGCTGTTAGAAATGGCCTTTTGTCCATTCCTCTCTCTTGTGCACATTCAGAGGGTGCCCTTTGCTGGAATAAGGACCCTGGGGAAGGAAGCGTAGCGAAGAGGGCTGGGGAATGGTGGTAAGCGCAGGAGCCGGGTTCCTGATGGAAGGATGGATGTGGAGAGGGTGCACGAGGCCATCCCAAGCCAACTGCATGGTGGGCAGCACTCACCCAGCACGGGGCTGGGGGGCTGTCAGTCCCTGCGGCCCCCACTGCTGAGAGGGTCTGGGCAGCCCATCTCTGGAGGAGGTGGGTGGCAAAGACTGGGAGGAAGGAGAGGTTTCCCCAGTGTGATGGATGGGGACTGGTTGCAGACCTCAGCCGCCTGAGGTTGCTTAGGGCATCCTGGCTCCAGGGCAGTGTGGGGCCAGACTGGCCCTTGGGTCTGGAAGGGAATGTCTCACCCACAGGGTTCATACGAGCCTCTCAGCACACCTGCAGGGCCAACAGGAGCGATGGGGAAGAGGACTGGACTGGCCTCAGCTGATAACAGATGGATGAGGGTGTTGCTGGCACCGGTATCCACCATGCAGCCACTGACATCAGTGCTGCCCCGGCGCTGCTCTGGCTCTCCTGGGTTGTGCCTCGGTCCTGATGCTGCAGATGTGCCTCTGACTTTCTGGCACGTCCTCACCTGCCTTGTTTCCCCACCTTCTTGCCCTCTCCCAGGTCATCCTCCCCTAAAATGACGCAGCAGATGCGGGACCTGCAGCTGGCGCAGGCCAGGAAGCCGCCAGGCCCTTCCTCTCCCAATGCAGCCAAGAGGCTTTACCGAAACCTGTCGGGGAAATTCCGTGTCAACTACACGTCCTTCGACGAGAGCAGCCTGGTGGGACGGGGCGAGAAGGAGAAACTCCGCAAGTCCTACCTGGTCAGTGCCCGCTGGCTCCATCCAGCACTCCCATGGCTGGGAAGATGGGGATGGAGGGTCCGTGCGTGGGCCATGTCACCTGGGTGGAAGCCCAAGAGTGCGTTGAGTGAAGCTGCCCTGGAGCAAGTTCAGCTGGAGCTGATCTGGATCTTTGCTCAGCATCATCCGGTTGTGGCGGCGATGAGCTGATGCTTCTTAGCCCCTGGGACGAGGGTAGCCCCCACCGCCCCGGTTTGGGTTTGTGGGGTGCTGGTGAAGGGCTGGGGTGTTGGGTGGGGTGGAGGAGGGTGCTCCATGCTCAGCTGACCCACGTTTCTCCCTCCATTCAGTTCCAGAGCAACGCTGCCCTCTTTGAGGCCGTGGAGCTGCAGGACCTAGACAGGGTCCAGGAGCTGCTGAAGCAGTACAGCCCTGAGGAGCTGGACCTCAACACCCCAAACAGCGAGGGGCTGCTGCCCCTGGACATTGCCATCATGACCAACAACGTTCCCATCGCCAGGGCGCTGCTGCAGGCGGGAGCGAAGGAGAGCCCTCACTGTGAGTTGGTGTGGGGGAGCTATGCCCATCACCTGGGTCTCCAGCCTGGTGGAGCAGCGTACTCCCAGGCAGTGGGGTCTGGGTGAGGAGGTGGGCACTGGGGTCTGCGGAACTGGTGCAGGCTGTAGCAGGGACTCAAGTGGAGCCATGCACTTGAGTGGAGCACAGGAGCAGGACACAGAGCGGAGGACGGGGTCTTGGGGTGGGGACTTGGTGGCAGCAGAGCCTGGGCTTGTCCTTATTGTGAGGAACGGCTGAGAGACCTGGGGGTGTTCAGCCTGGAGAAGAGGAGGCTGAGGGGAGACCTTATCAGTCTCTACAGCTTACCGAAAGGAGGGTGTAGAGGTGGGGGCTGACCTGTTCTCCCTGGTGACAAGTGATAGGATGAGAGGAAATGGGTTCAAGTTATGTCAGGGGAGGCTTAGATTGGATATTTGGAAAAATTTTTTCCCCGAAAGGGTTATTAAACATTGGAAGAGGCCGCCCAGGGAGGGGGTGGACTCGGTATCCCTGGAGGTGTTTAAAAAAAGGGTAGATGTGGTACTTGGGGACAAGGTTTAGAAGTGGTTTTGTCAGGGTAGATTAATGGTTGGACTTGATGATCTTAAAGGTCCCTTCCAACCTCAACAATTCTATGACTCTATGATTCTAACCGCCTCCTCTTCCCTCCTGGCTCCCCTCCTGGGACCCACGGCCATGCCCACCCATCCCGCAGTCGTGAGCCTGGAGAGCCGCTCGCTGCACCTCTCCACGCTGGTGCGGGAAGCAGAGCAGCGTGTCAACGAGCTGACGGCGCAGGTGGTGAACGAGGCACCCAACGTGGACTGCTCCGAGAAGGAGAAGCAGCTCAAGGCCTGGGAGTGGCGATACCGGCTTTACAAGCGCATGAAGGCAGGGTTTGAGCATGCCCGTGAGTGCCCGCAGGAGGGCTGGGGGGGGGACTGGGGGGCAGTCCCCATGCTGAGGGAAGGAGCAGGGCTGTATGTGGTTCAGGCATGGGGTGCACCAGCCCCCATCAGAAGCTCCTTGCACCCTGTATGGGTGCATGGGGGGTGAGCGCTCCGGGAACATGTCCCTGGGAGTGGGGGGAGGCCCAGGAGGGACACTTAGGGGTTTGGAGTGACCGTCCTCGCTGTAGTGGTCCCTGCGCTCTCTGTCCCCAGGAGCACCAGACGCCCCTACCAACGTCCAGCTCTCCGTGGCCAGCAGCTCCTCAGTGCAGGTGACCTTCTGGGAGCCCCTGAGCGTTAACTCGGCCGTTGTCACCAAGTACAAAGGTAGGGACCCCACAGCAGTGCCGGGGGACACACGGCCATGGCAAGCACTGCAGGTGTGCCAGGGCGACACGGTGGGGCGCTCGCCCCATACGTGCCTTTGCCCATTCAAACCAGATATTTTGGGCTTCTGGAAGAATTTCCTCCGTCCCCAGCTCCTGACCCATCGTTTGAGGGTCAGGGACCCATAGCTTCTCCCTGTCTCAGGGAGAAGGACCGCAGCTCCCCATGCGGTCCCCCCCACTGCGGCTCCCCCTCTCCCCTGCCTTCGCCCTGGTGCTGCCCACAGTCCCTCTGCAGCTGGTGGTCCCCGACACCCTGCTGCCAGCCCTGGTAGCCTGTCCTCGCTCCGTGAAGCCACGCAGCAACTTGGGGGTCTCTCTGCTTTCAGTGGAGTGGAGCTGCTCCCCCACCTTCTCACCGCTGCTGGGGGAGGCCGTGATCGACAAGCTGAAGAACCTGCACTTCACCATCCGGGGGCTGGTGTCGGTGAGCTTTTGGGGTGCCCCACGGGGGTCCGGGCTGTGGGGGGACAGCCCGTGGCCGGGAAAAGCTGCTGGCCATGGTGCAGCCTGTGGGGTCAGTCCCTGCAGCCTGTGCGGGATTGTGCCACGGCAGTGGTCGGCACAGCCCGTGGGCAGAGCTAAGAGTGTGGGGCCGGGAGAGGCATCTGTCTGTCCCTGCATGGCCGTGGCTGCCCTGGCTGTGGGGAAACCCCCTGCACGGGCTGCCTGGGGCTGCTGGAGTGAACGGGGCCATTCACCGAGCGCCTGATTTATGGGGAAACCCCCTGCACGGGCTGCCTGGGGCTGCTGAAGTGAACGGGGCCATTCACCGAGCGCCTGATTTATCCTCTGTCCCCCACCCTGCTCCCATCTCCACCCGTGCTCCTCCTGGGCAATAAATCAGTGGCTCCTTCCTCTGCCACCTGCACAGATCAACCCCCCACACCAGCCCTGCCGCTCATTGGAGAGGGGGGACCAGCCCTGTCTCCATCTCCGGGAGCTCGGCAAGGTCACGGACTGGTTGGGGCCGGGGCTCCCCGCTGTTTTATCTTCTTGAGAACCACAGGGGCCACGCTGCCTGTCAGCTGTCCCCTCCCCGGGGGCTGCCGTCCTGTCCCCGGCACGCATTGGACCGGCGAGGGGGGACGGGGCAGTATGGGGACCACGACGGGATGGGGACCATGACAGGGTGGAGCTTGGGATAGGCAAACGGGGAGATGCTGGGATGAATGGCGTCGCCCTTACCAGGGACGTGCAGCACCGAAGCTCTGGTGACAGGCAGGGACCGCCAGCTCCAGGAGCAGGGAAAGCCCTTAATGCGGCTAGAGGGGCTTAGCCAAGGTGGTGGTGTCGGAGCCCCGGGGCCGCTGTCAGGGTGGGAGAGCTGCCCTGGTACACGGCAGGACGGGGCTGGAGCGGAGCTTGGAGCAGCGCCACTGCAAGGAGCTGGCCCGAGCCCATCAATCATGCTTTCAGAGCTGCTTCGCAGGCTCCCGTCCACCTTCATGAGTGCCTGGAGGGCTTGCAACATCTGCCAGCTTGACCAGGCTTTAATCAGAGGCCTGTAATCACTTGTCGCTGTGCCACAAGCCCTTGACAGCATTGGGCCATCTCCCTGTCCCAGGGGCCGGATCCTTGTGTGTCCCAGTGGGAAGGCATCACCCCGACCCTGCCGGCTGGGGAAGCCCCGTATCTTTGGGGCTGGAGCATCTCCTGGCAAAGGGCATTCACAGCATCCCATCTTTCCTCTGCCTTCCCCCAAAACAACCCAACTGGGCTGCAGGGACTCTCTAGCGTCTGATAACAAGAGCTTTGTACAACTTGGGGACGTCAGAGGGGGTGACCCGGGCTGCGGGCTCCCAGTTTAGTACCCTTCATGGTGTACTGGTGTACTGGGCTGGGGGGGGGGGCCATCCTTCTTCCCTTGCCGGGAGAGGTGCTGGTGTGCTGAGTGTGGCTTCCCTCCTTGCAGGGCACGGCTTACTACGTCCAGGTGTCTGCCTACAACATGAAGGGCTGGGGTCCCCCGCAAGCCTCCGTGCCCCCTTTCGCCATCCCTTCCAGTGAGTACCGCTGGGAACGCCCATGGGAGCTGGCACCAGCTGCAGGATGGATGGGGGGAGGCAGCAGCTCCCTGTGCCATCCGGTGGTCCCACTCGCTGCTGGGATGGGGTCTAGTGCACCTGGGAGCAGAGGCAGCATTTGGGATCTCAGACCAGGGAGGGATGCTGTGCCCGGCTGTCCAGGATGCTGCCTCCAGCCGGCAGGAGCTTTACCAAATAGTTATTTTTCAACCTGAAATTCTCTTGGTAAAGGCTGAGCCACCTGGATCAGCTCACCCTAAGGAGGAAGGCAGAAGAGAGGGTGTTTTGCTTTCTTAGTTAAAAGGAAACCCATACAGCCATCCCCTCTGGAGGAAGGAAAAACGTCCCTGTGGTTTTTAGCAGATGTTTGTAATTTAGCATGGCGCAGCTTTTGAAGGGGTCAGTCCTTACCACCTCAATGGCATCTGCCCCAAAGCGGCCAAGCTTGTGCAAAACCACCATTGGCACGCGCTGAGGGGCGACATGGTGGGATGCCCCAACTCAGCCCCTTGAGCTGCCCCCCCGGGCCTCAGAACCATCCCGGTCCTGGGTGGCAGTGGGCCTGGAGCCCTCCCTGTGCCACCGCATGCTCTCGCCCATCCAGCCCAGCCCTGGGGACCTGCCTTCCCTGGCATCGAGCTGGCATGACATGGGGTCATGAGCCCCACCGCAGACCAGCTCTGGGCTCTCAGTGCCCACCTCCCCACACCGGCACCAGGGCGAGCAGCAGGGAAAAGCCACCCAGTGTCACACAAGACGCCCCAGGGCGCTGGGGACGACAGGCCAGGAGGATGGAACTGGAAGGAGCAGCCCCAGTGCATGAAAGTTGAGGGCTGAGCAGGCTCTGAGGTGGTGGCTGCCCCTCGCCACCAGTCGCCAGCAGGTCTCCACTGCGGCCATGCATAGTGGTCCTGCGGGATCAGCACCTTCACACCTGGGAGGCTGAGCCCGTCCCGACCAGCAGCAGCAGCAGCAGCAGCAGGGCGGTGGGCATGCTGCCCCTGCCACCAATGCGCGCAGGCGGCGAGGGACCGGGCACGCTGCTGTGTGTGAGCAAGGAATGCACGACGGAGGGGTCGAAGTGCAGGTCTGAGCGTGTGAGCTGCGATGGGGCCAGAGATGCACAGGCACCATGCATTGCTCTAGCTGCAGGAACACAAGCGCTTTAGCACTGGTGTGGAAAGATGCAAAAATACATTTGCGTGTATATGAATCACAGAAGCACAGAATCACAGAATGATCAGGGTTGGAAGGGACCTCTGGAGATCATCTAGTCCAACCCCCCCGCCAGAGCAGGGGCACCTCCAGCAGTGGCACAGGACGGCGTCCAGGCGGGTTTGGAATGGCTCCAGAGTGGGAGACTCTCCCATCTCTCTGGGCAGCCTGTGCCAGTGCTCCACTACCCTCAAAGTAAAGAAGTTCCTCCTCATGTTAAGAGGGAACTTCCTATGTTCAAGCTTGTGCCCATTACCTCTTCTCCTATCACTGGGCACCACTGAAAAAACACTGTTCCCATCCCCCTGGCACCCTCCCTTGAAGGATTTATAAGCATTGATAAGATCCCCCCTCAATCTTCTTTTCTCTAGACTAAAGAGACCCAAGTCCCTCAGCCTTTCCTCATATGAGAGATGTTCTAATCCCCTCATCATCTTTGTAGCCCTTTGCTGGACCCTCTCCAGCAGTTCCCGGTCCTTCTTGAACTGGGGAGCCCAGAACTGGATGCAGTACTCCAGATGTGGCCTCACCAGGGTAGAGCAGAGGGGGAGGATGACCTCCCTCAACCTGCTGGCCACACTCTTCTTGATGCACCCCAGGATGCCATTCACCTTCTTGGCCACCAGGGCACATTGCTGGCTCATGGTCATCCTGTTGTCCACCAGGACTCCCAGATCCCTTTCCACAAAGCTGCTCTCCAGGAGGTCAGCCCCCAACCTGTACTGGTGCATGGGGTTATTCCTCCCCAGATGCAGTACACTACACTTGTCCTTGCTGAACTTCATAAGGTTCCTCTCTGCACAACTCTCCACCCTGTCCAGGACACGCTGAATGGCGACGCAGCCTTCTGGCGTGTCAGCCACTCCTCCCAGTGTTGTGTCATCAGCAAAGTTGCTGATGGTACACTCTATCCCTTCATCCAGATCATTGATGAATGTGTTAACAGGACTGGGCCCAATGAATGCACATAGGGAGCCTACGCACGCCCTGCATTGCCCTGGCTTTGCCCTGTCCTGCCAGCGGGGCTTGGCCATGGTTTCACCCACTTTAAAGCCCCTTTGCCATCCCGCACAGGTCACATTCCCTGTGACCGAGAGCCAGCAGCATCGATGCAGAGTGCAGCTGAAGTGAATCAGATATGAGTGGGTTTTGTTTATTTTTATCTCCATTAATATTTCTCCCCTCAGTCAAGATCCCTCCCTGGCCCAGCAGAACATAGTCAGACACCTCCCCGGGTGTTTTTAAAGCTCCTAAAAATAGTGGCAAGCCCCAGCCAAAGTTAACAGAGCTGAACTTTCCATGGAAAACAGCAGCAGGCAGGACACAGGGGGTGTTTAAAGCAATTAATGTAAAGCTAACGTAGAAGCGGCGGCAGGTCCCCGGCCCTGCTTCTGGTCCTGCTGCCATCTCGCACCGGGTGGAGCTGGCAGGAGAGCTTATTTATGTGTTTGCCGAGTTGAGCGCAGCTCTCAGCACTCACCCGGAGAAAGCTGCCGCTCTGGGGAAGACCTGGAGGAAGACACTGGAAAGAATTTTATTTTTTAAGGCCAGTAAAGTGCGGCAGCAACAGACGGGACCTTGTTCTTTCCCTCTGCTGTGTCTCTGCCGTGCTGCGGGGTGGCTGGTGGCCACGGGGTGCTGTGCAGAGCCAGGGTGCCGAAGCCCAGCCCACCCAGAGGTGCCCAGCACCCATCACTGTTGCTGTGCCATGCTGTGTCTGTGGGACACATAGGTGGGGTGCCAGAAGGTGACCTGCCATGGGGAGGAAGGGACAGGAAGCCCTCTTTCTCCCCCGCCAAGGGGTAGGTGCTGGGGGTGATGCTGGTGTGTCCCCCACAGACTGGCGGGAGTACGACGGCCGGGCTCCACGGCGAAGGGGACAAGCTGAAGCTCTGGACCATCTGCTGGGCCAGGTGAAGACCATCCACCAGCACTGTGTTTGCCACGGTGAGTGCACGGCACTGTGGGGAGGCTGGGGTGAAGGATCCAGGCTGACCCCTTAGGGTTGTGGGGTGGGCTGGGGTGGCACCAAGAGTCGGTCTGTCCCATGGATGAGCATAGCAGGGAGACGGCTCAGGCAGTGGAGACCTTGGTAGAGCCTTCCCACCCAGGTTGGCATGCTGTGCCATGGGCTGCTGGTGCCACCCTTCGTCTCCTGCTGCAGCATCCTGTGATCTCTGCTCCCCAGAGCCCTGCAAGAATCAGCCCCAGAGCAGGAAGCACTCTGTCTCCAAGAGCCTCAAGCACCTCTTCCACCCCGGCAGCAAGTTTCTCAAGACACTGAAGAGGTGAGAGGCTGGTGCACAGGGGTGGTGGAGAGCCCGTCTCCTGGCAGGGACATAGCACTGCCCATCCTGGACACTGCCAGGAACTGTGTGCAGAAGCCCAGGGCTGAGGGGGTGCTCAGAGGTGGGTCCTTGCCTGGAGCGAGCTGGTGGTGTCAGTGGAGATGAGTCCTGTTGCCCAGAAATCAAATGTTTCTCCTTGGACTGGCCAAGCTGCACCCGTACCGAGATGCCTGTGCCATCTCCAAGCATCACCCACCACCCCACCCTCCTCTGGACCCCACCACCCTCCCACCATCCACCTTCACGCTTCGCCTCCAGGCACCCCAGCGTGTCTCCTGCACAGGTCTGGCCCCATCACCCTTGTGCTGGCTGGGGCATCGGCCGGGGCATCAGCCGGGGCGTCAGCCATGGCGTCAGCCAGGCTCGCCTTGCTGGCAGCATTGAGTTCCTGTTCCTGCTCCTGTACTGGCCGTGTGCCTCTTCTGCCACAGGCTGTTGGAGAGGAGCTGAGACCTGGGGCAGGGCACCTCCTCAGCCCTCGGGAGAGGGACCCTTTGGGAAATGAAGCTGGCGGGTGGAGGTGACACTGAAGTCTGTCTTCCCTCCCATGCAGGGGCCTTTACCTGACAGCCATCTTCTACAAGGACGACAACATCCTGGTGACCCACGAAGACCAGATCCCCGTGGTGGAGATTGATGACACCTACTCCTGCCTGCTCATGCAGGATTTTCTGTGGTTCACCAAGGTGGGTGGCTGAGGGACCATGTGCTGTGCACTGGGGCACGGCAGCAGTGTGACCCCTGACACACCTCTGTCTGCCTGGCCACCACCCTGGATGCTGCTGAGATGATGGCCACCACGATCCGCAGAGCACCTTCATTGCAGCTCTTTCCCGTTGCTGCCCACGCTGGCAGCAGTAGTGGGGCACTGCGGGGCTCTCACCAGGGCTGGCCGGGTCTGACTTGGACTGGGAGCACCATCAGGGGACACCCCATGTGCACAAAGGGACCATGAGCTAGTCCAGCTGCTCTCACCAGATGACACATCTGGCAGCTCCTGGGCTTCCTGGCGTTGCCTCCAGGCCCTCCGCTGTGCCACTGCCCTTGCAGGCTCCATGGGACAGAGTGATGCCAAGAGCTGGTCGCAACCAGGGAGTGCTGGGGTGAGCCAAGAGGGCATCGTGCACCACCGCTGCCTTTGGCTGGCCGTGGCTCCCCCTCTGCCCCGGGCGCTGGCAGCCCAGAGGCTGGCTGCTCGCTGGGGTTTGGCGCGGACCGAGAAAACACCAGGGACCGGTGTTTCCACCCCAGCCCCTGGAAATCCAGAGGTGGGTGATGGACCGGTGCCGCACGTGCTGTGACGGTGGACGCTGCCTCTCCGCAGGGATGCCGGCAGCTTCTCAGCTGTTTGGCTGCTTCACTGCAGCATCCTTCCGCGGCAGCTCTGCCGCTGCTGTGCAGAGCGGGACGTGCAGGGTGCTGCTGCCTGGTCCTCTGCTGGCAGTAGGCTGAGTGAAAGGGCGGGGGGCAGCTCAGGGCCAAAATCTTTTGCTGGATAGTCCTTATCTACTGAGGGAGAAGGCTATCTTCTCCCTCCTCTTGGCTATCTTCTACTCAAACTTCAGAAGGTCTGTCTTAGATGAAGGCACATATCTGAGTGGACATGGCATGGTGCTTCCCTGAGGTCCAGGCTCTGGAGGCATCTCGGGTTGCCTGTGGCATAGAAAATCACACCCCTGCTGAGAGGTGATACGTGCCCGTGCATGTTCCTAACCCAGCTCAAACGGAAATGCAAATGGATTTCCGCAAAACACCTTTGTGTGAACCAGCTGCAGGCAGCGGTGGCCGGTGGTGACGGCCCTTTGGTGTGCTGCAGGTGTCGTGCATGTGGGACGAGATCCTGTGGCTGCGGCAGTGCGTCACCGTCTCCCAGTCGTCCTGCTCCTGCATCCTGCAGACGCGCTTCAAGATGCTGCTGGCCATCTCACAAATGCAGGTGAGGGTGGGCATGGGGGGAGAGCGAGCGCTTTTTGGGGAGCCGGGCTCCCTTGGGAGCAGCACACGGATGTGTGCCCAGGAAAACCCCCGGCTCTGCCAGTCCTCCCTGGCAGGACCCCGGTCGTGGGGCAGTGGGGTGTCAGGCTTTGTGGCAAACTCATGCAGAGGGGCTGGGGGCTGTCGGTGGGTGCTTTGCTGGACAGGCTGGTTTCCAGCTGGCAGAGGGGAGACCCCCCAGCTGCATCCCAGCTGCCCAGATCCACAGAGTACTGTGCCTCGAGGATGTCCCCTGACCTGCTGCTTTCTCCCATCCTCCTCTCCGGTCACGCAGGGGCTGCTGGGCATCCAGGACCTGGGGCAGGTCTTCTTCGAGCCCGTCAAAGACAAACAGGGCAACATCCTCATCGTCACCCTGAAGGAGGTGAAGACCAACCAGACCTTCGAGAGCGTCCGCTGGGTTCCCATCTGCAAGCTGCAGACCAGCCGCAAGTCCGTGTCCTCTCCGGAGGAGCCCACTGCTCTGGACATGCTGCTGATCTCCATCCAGGTGCTGCACCCGTGCCGTCGTGGCAGGGGATTGCAGTGGGCTCTGTTGTGGGACCACCGGTGCTCCCTGCTCCTCCTCAGGCTGGAAGGGCCACGGCAGAGCCCGGGTCACCAAGGGTTTGGTCCTGGCTCCAGGCAGAAGGGCAGCAGAGCCCAACCAGCCTGCAAAAACCCTGTTGCTTTGAGGGGAGGCATCAGGCTGCTGCTGGATTCATCCCAGCAGCACCTCATTGTACCTGCTCTGCCGCTTCCCTGCTGCTGGCCGGGACGTGGCACCCCACACAAGGGCAGGAGAGAGCCCCACTGTGGGGGCTTGCTCAGTCCAGCAGTGCCTTTCTCCTCAGGACAAGCTGGCTTACCACCAGCGGAGCAGTCATGCCCTCTCCCCGGGCCTCTACCTGGGCTACTTGAAGCTCTGCAGCGCGGTGGATCAGATCCGAGTGCTGGTGCCGGAGCGGCTGCCCAACATCCTGTGCCACGTCAAGATTCGCTCCAACCCCAACATCTCCAGGTGGGGCTTGCAGGGCAGCTCACCTGGGACAACCAGATTCCTCTGTCCCATCCAGCCTGAGAGCACCCATTACCTCCCACTTCTGCTCTTGGGTTCCTGGCAGCAGCCTAATATTCCCTCTCGACCCCACTGCCTGTCACACGATGCAGCCTGGAGCTGCGGCAAACCAAGGTTCCCCTCTTCCTCCACAGCTCCCACGTCCCCTAAGGTGCTGCACCCTCTTGAGGGGGAACAGCGGAGCAAACACAGCTCTCATAGCGATAGCGCATTGAGGTCAAGCTTCACCTGTGTGTCTCTGCCCTTCTCCAGGGAGGAATGGGAATGGCTGCAGAAGATGGCCAGCGTGGAGGAGGCTGTTCCTGTGGAGCCAGAGGCTGAGACCTCCCAGAACCACTTGTTTCAGGAGCTCCAAGTGGCCATCAAGGAGCTGATGACCCTGGTCAACATCCCATTGCAAGAGGTAGAGGCAGGTGCCGAGTTCTGGGGAGGAGGGAAGGGAAGGAGCAGCGCAGCACCGTTGCCGGTGACCGCAGCGGGCAGGGTACCGCAGCCCCTGGTCCCTCTTTGTGGGCCTGAAGCATCAATCAGAGTTTAATCCCATGCAAATAGAAGGCAAGCGGTGGACAGCCAGCACCTGAAACATCTGCCTGCCCAGGGACAGTGTCCACAGGAGCTGTGTGTCTTACCTCCGAAGCAAGGAAGGTGAAGCTGGGTTTCCATTATTGCCGACCGTGTGGTTTGGTCCTGGGCTCAGCCCTTGCAGCACAAGACCAGCCCAGCCCTGCCCCTCCAAAGCAGGATGGTCCCTGGCCAGCCGTGGGATGGAGCTGCAGGCTCCTGGGCCAGACTGTATGGGGAGAAATCCCTCCTCCACCCTGCTGTGTATTGGCTGCGAAGGTGCCCACCAGCGTCAGGCACGTGCTTCTGGCCAGAAAGCTGTGAGGTCACCTCTCTCAGCAGGACTGAGACCATTGATGGTGGCACTTCTCTGAGACCCTGTTATAGTGACTTTGACCAATAGTTTAGAGGCCTTTAGGAGAAATAAGAGAGAAAGGGAGGTGTGCAGATTATGCCAGAAGCAAGGAGCCTCTGGCTGCGTGCTGAAATAGCAGTGTCCCCTGGCTGCAGGTGGTCCCTGAGGACCCCTCTGTGGATGAGGACTTGGTGGAGGGCCCACCAAGTGATGTTTGCAGCTGTTACCTGCGGTGTCTTCTTGCAGGCCAAAGATTTCCGTCTGTACAGCCAAGAGGTGCTGGACTTTGGGGGCCAGGTCTCCTTCCTGCTGCTTCTGCCTCCATCGGACGATGTCTGCACTGCTCCGGGGCAAAACAACCCTTACACCCCTCGCTCCGGCTTTCTCACGCTGCCATTGCAGATCTTCGAGTTAGGTGAGGAAGGGGAATGCCAAAAGTCATCCTTGCTGGTCTTCTTGCCATCTGACAGCTCCCAAGAGCCAGGACGGGTGGTGGGGAGGGCTGGAGCTCCCTCACTTTCCCCAGGAGAGAAGGGATGGAGGGGGATGCTGAGGGCTGTCCAGGTAGGCTAGAGGAGAGCGTTGCCTCTTCCCTGGGTTGGGTGAGTGGGGAGGAGCCCATAGGCCATCCACAGCAAAGGGCCTGATATTTGTCATTCCTCCCTCTCTTTTTTCCCCTCCCAGTCCACTTCTTCACGTACGACCGGGAGTTCATCACCCAGTACTGCCAGGTGTCCGCCCTCCTGGAGCTGGAGTCGCTCCTGTCTCAGCAGAGCCTCCGGGAGGCCTTCTCCGATGCCGAGCTCTCCACCGCAAAGCAGAGGCACCAGCAGGTTCAGGACTACATCCAGGTACACGGAGCGGGAGTGTGCTGGGAGGGAGTCAGGCTCGACGGTGCCCACGGGACATGGCCAGGACAGCCGTGGCCAGGACAGTCATGGCTGGGAGGAGCTGCAGGATCATCCTCACCGGGGCTGTACCCACTGGTGTAACCTCGTGGGGTTTCCCTGACACGGCAGATGGGCAGGAGCAGGCAGGGCTTCGTCGAGCACCTTCTTACTGCAATGATCATGTTAAAAATTCTGATTAGGGAGCTGGAGGCTCCTGCTCTGCAGGTCCCCACCTTGCTAGAAAAGGGCCTGGAAGTACATTTTGGGGTGGATGTGTGGAAGAGCACCCCACACTACCCCCTTTCCCAGCACTCCTGCCTGCAGCAGGCAGGTCCTGGTGAACTGGCGGTTGCTGGTGGGCAAAGCAGCGTCTTCCCACCCGAGAGCACTTTCTTGGGATTTCCTGACTCGGGCATTCCCCCAAAGCTTTCACCTCTTGGGAAAGGTGTGTGGGGAGATGCTGTGTTTTGCTGTGGGCCGTTTTTGTTGCTGTTGTTTGCTTTTTTGAAAGGAATCTCTCGCTTCCTATTTTGGCAGCAAATGGAGGAGATCTGGCGCGAGATGCGCTGGATTATGGATGCCCTGCAACACGCCCGGTACAAGCAGCCCTCCTGCGGGGTGTCCCTCAGCGGCTTCCTCAGCGAGGCTGGTGGTGCAATGAAGGAGAAAACCCGATCCACCTCGTCCCACCTCGACTACCTTCCCTCCCCGGCGCCCTCGCCAGAGACCAGCCGTAAGCTCAACTCCGGTAAGGACCTGGCTTTGCAAAGCTCCTGCCTGGTGGGCTCAGGGGGCTGCTGGGATCACTGCTCTGGCTTGGCTGCACTGTGGGGATGCAGGCAGGGCCAGCGTTGGGAGTACGGTCTCGGTTGGGGCAGGACCTGCTCTGCCTGTGCCTTGGCGAGTGCAGCACGGGTGTACGGAGAGGGGGCAAATGCTCGGGGGCTTCCTTGGGCTCCATCTGGTGCAAACCCTCAGCCAGGGTTGCCGACAGCAAGGCTGAGCCCCTCTTTGCTTCTCTCACACCCCTCACAGACTCGCACGGGCTGTCAGACGAGGAAGGCTCCTCCGAGGTGTTCCTGGCCACTGACAGCGACTACGACTCCAGCAGGGCGCAGAGCCCAAAGGAGCTCGACCTGGTGTATTCCTCCTCGGGGCCTGAGTGCTGCAGCAGAAGAGTTGCCCGCACCCTACGGGACAGCGCTCCGGATGTCCTGCAGACCCATGAGCTCAAGACCCCACCGCCGCCGCCACCGCCGCCACCACCGCCGGAGGAGCCTCGGCCACCCCCTGAGCTCTACGACAGCGCC